CGAAGTCAAATAAAACAGGGCATGTATAAATCGGTTTGTACTTGGTACAAGTCTGGTAATTTTCGAACTAGTTCGGTTTCTGTCAGGAAATTCTAGTTGTAAACTAGTATTATTCCTGACTAGTTTGGGATTTCACTGCAGGGAAACTGTACTTTTCGACTGTAAATTGTATCGACTTTTTAATTTGCTCATATGCATGCATGCATCATAGATTCCCTTCAAGACCAATGCTTTGATGGTATTCACGGGAAAGTTTATGTAGGTACATTTACATATTTTACACTTTTAACATAAATGTCAAGGCAGATGTTTTAAGATACACTTCTTAACAAACAAATTTTTTAAAGTTATTATCAATGGATAAAAGAGACATCTTCTTTGAATTCAGTACTAAAACTTGACATTTCAGTGCTTATGAAAACTTTATACGTGTTAACTAGATTCGCCATTTATCTTAAAATTATATAATTTTAATTACTTGATTATAAAAATGCAGTTTACACTTTAACAAAACCCGTATAAATCCAAAGTTTAATATTTGCGCAACATTTAAAAAATCAACAAGCTTTCGTTAAGCTTTTTAATTAGATTTCCTAGAAATACATATTTTCAGTTTGCAGTTTTGTAGCCCGATCCATTCCAATAAAGCGTAAGTTTAAAATACATAGCTGCGACTTATCGCTGATTTTTAATATTTATTTATTTTTTGATGAAGGCGTTGCTCATTTTCCTCATTAAAAAAAACGTCAAACATACTTAGATAATATAGAAGAAAATTACCAACATCGTCAAAAATCTGCCATACATCAACTGTAAAGCTACTTTAAATTTGCACTTTATTAGACTAAAATTAAAATGAGCTAAAAATTGCAAAATATTAAGAGATAAAATTGAAATAGAATGTTCGAAATTTTTACGAAAGTTTGTCGATTTTTTTATGTTGTTCAAAGCTTAAACTTATTTTCATTTAGTGTTTGTTAAGGAATAAACTATATTTTTATAAACAAATAATTCAAATTAATATATAATAAAATAAATATTCAAATCTAGTCAATATGTGAGTGTCGTAAAGTTATGATATTTAATAACATCTCTTTCCTAATTAACGATGACACTGTTTCTATATGAAGCTGATTTCGACATTTTGTTTTAATAAAATTTAGTATCGAAATTATTCTTTCAAAACTTGCCTAGGAATGTGATATAATGGTTCGTTCAAAACCTTTTTTCAAAACTTATAAAGACAACAAGTAAGAAAGTCTAAGTTCGGGCGGAGCCGAACATTAAATACCCGGCGCAAGTATTAAATATATATATTCCACCTTTCCGAAAGCTACCGCTAGATGGTAAGCCGGGCTGTATCAATTTTGAGTAAATTAGCGTCCTTAAATTTCGAAATATTCCAGTTTCAAGCATTTCGGAAATTTACCGTTGTATGAAAAGCGGCCGTAATTTTAGTCCGATATACATATATGTGATCATAAGTGGGCGGTGCCACGCCCATTTTCCAAAATTTTACCACAAACGTATTTCTTGGTATTGAATTGTTGCAAGCATCAATTTTGAGTAAATTAGCTTTAATATTTAC